AGGTGTTAGAGGGAAGTCATGGGGAGACAGGAGTGGAGCTGGGGAAGTGGCCGGATGCTGCACGGAATCACATCTTACAGAGGAACCAGAGTGGAATAAAGTGAGTACTAAGGGCCCGCTTCTGGGAGGGCCTGGGGCGTCAGTGCATATTGTACCAGAGTATCCAACTCATTTGACTCCAAATTATAAATGTCAGGGAAAGGAAGGAAAGATTGAAGAGTTCCATTTCCAGGTGTAGGAGTTAATAAACCCTTTCCTTGCTAGCACCACATGTGAAGGTTCAGACTTTTCCTACACTTCTAAGTGCATGCAATAGAAGGGGTGCATCTGCCTATTTCCACCCCCACCCTCACCACACCATGGGCTTCTTTCCCAGCTGTTCATGTTGGGCTCAACACTCTGCCAAACGGCGATGTACTCTCAGCAGGAGATGCCCTGTAGGCAGTCTCTTCCGGAAAAAACTTGATGGACACTGACTGGCCCTTACATAGTCTGAGACCAAGCTGTGGATAAGCAGGCCAAGCTTTGCATTTCTTCCTGGCTGGCTGCACGTGACACTGGGCTTACCCCAGGAACAGATGTTGTCTGGGGGATGTATAAGCAGAGCACTGGGAAAAGAGTCTATAAGCCACTGTCACTGGTTTGGTTCTTCACTTTTCCAGCATGAATACTGGCTCCCACCTCTGTTTTCTGAAAGACTCAAACTTTCTTCTGTGCTGTGGAGTAATATATTTCTTCTTGGAATGTTTGACTCTGTCTTACTGTGTCATTTCTTTTGACCTATAGATAACTTTAGAATATACAGAGAGACACCTAGCATTAGAAGAGAGGAAAATTCTAAAATTTTCTGCATAATAAAACAGTTTACTTTGAGTAAACATCGCAACTTCACAGAGAGCCAGGACTCAGAGCTAAAGAGAACATAAAGAATCTTCAAGAGACTTAGCGGGGGCAGATTAAACACCGTGTGTCAGCGTGTAGGAGCAGGTCTCCTAGAGATGAGTGTCATGAAATTTGTTTGTTCTCTCCTCAGTCTAGTAAGAGAGACAGGTAAATTTAGTAAGAGAGAGGGAGAGGAGCAGCCCAGGATGAGCTCAGGGAAAGGAAATGTAGAATGACAGCCTTGGTCTGACACCTCCAGGTTGTAACCCACAAATAGAGGCTTCGGGGCTGGAAATGGCAGACCAGACAAAAGAGTCAAGATGAAGGAGTAACAGTGTTGACTGGAGAGTCTCCTCTGATGAATTTTCTTCAGAACTAAGAATGGCAGATAGTGTTATTCTGTATACTGGGTTCATTCATGGTTTCACAAACATTGAAGAATGAAGTCATAAACCAAAGGAGGAGGTCAGGAGGACTTCTTATTTTAAATAATAAGAAGAACAGCTTTTGGGATTTTAGAGGGATCCCGAGAAGGTTACCATGTGTTCCTTCCATCTAGTGTCACATGTAGGGAAGAAGGGCTTAGGAATTGTGCAGTCATTAATGGTCACCTATCATCGTGGCTCTGTGATGTTAAAAAAAAATAACCAACTGGAATTCAGGCTCTCTAACCTAGTTTTTTTTTAAACGTAGTGTTTACAGTAAATTGCAATGTAGAGCCTTGATTTCAAATATTACTTACAGTATACCTCTAACAAAAGTAGTCGCATGGAATTTTTTAATGACCCCAATAGAAGCAAAAATTTGTAAAAACCAAATAAGAAAATAAGAACTCAAATGTATAGAGACAGAGGCAGAGTTGGTACCAAGGAAACTCTGAGGTGACCATATAAACTTCATGGAACTATATCAAACAATCCCCCAATCACCTACTGGATGCTGAACCTTATGATAGGAACTAGAAACATAAAATATCATTGCATCTAACTTTTAGCCCAGTGCCTTGATCCTGATATGGGGTGAATTGTGTCTTTTTCTTGCTTTTCTCTCAAATATTTTCTAACCATCTTTCAAAACTCAGTACAACTGACTTTCATTTTTCAATAAAAAAGTTTATTAGTACATTTTTTATAGTACATGATTACATTCATCATGGCAAGTTCACACATGTACATAACATGTTTTATTTTTTTAATTCCCTTCTCCCTAACTTACTTTCTTGATTAAATTACCCAACAATTAAAACAAAAGTTTTCTCTTTTCTTTTTGCATCTAGAGCTTTAAAAAAAACTCATACGGTTTGTGTTTTGTGCTTTATGCATTTCTATTTTTGTCATCCTCTGTAGACTGAAAAGAAACATTTCATGTCATTTCAATTTATTATCGTGTGCACATTAACTCATGACTGAGTTGTGAAGTGGATTTTAGCCAGTCTATTTTAAAAACAAAGCAGAAAAGAACAAAATTCATCAAAATGAGCCACATATTTCAAGGATAAATAATGTTGCATGAAGTTTGTTTCTGTTACATACTTGAGTCACAAGGAACCTCTTCTTACTGAGGGTCATTTCTAGAAAGCTAATTGAACACGGGGGGCTTCATTATTTGGGGTAGGCTCAAAGAAGAAAGCTAGAACTAGAGATTCTGAAGCTTTCAGAGTGTAGATGTATTTAATCTATACAGAGAAAGCAGTGGGTTTTACACATTGGTAATTAAATAAGAAGATACAGGAACAGCATGTTCTGTAGTGTGCAGGCAGGGGTCCGCACAATACTTCTGCAAAGACAGCAAATGTTTTTATGTCTTGTGGACTCTCAGTGATAGCAATCCAACTGGAAGCCCCAAAGCAGGCTCAGGCCACACATGAAAGAATCAGTGTGACTGACATTCAATAAAATTTGAATTTCATGTCATTTTCATATGTCATGAAATACAATTCTTCCAAGCTTTTCAACAGTTTGAGAATACAAAAGCTGTTCTTAGCTTATGGGGTTTTACTTAGATGGGATTTCTCTATGTTTTGCAGGCTGATCTTGAATTCCTGGGTTAAATGATCCCCCTGTGATGGCCTTTGGAGTTAGGTCTACAAGCATGTGCCCATGTGCCACCAGGCCTGGCACCTCATGTATTAATAGAAGAATTAGAGTCTAGTAAGGCCAAGAAATCAATCAACGATTGCCATCACAAAGTCAGTTTATTAGAGTTCCCAAAAGGGTGCTGTGAAAGACAACTTTGTTATTGGTCCAGAGAAGAGGGAGAAACAAAGGATTAGAGGCTTTATTGTGGTCTCTGTAGGACGAAATAGGCAATGCAGGGTAATCAGGACTTGCACCATAAAGCTCAACAGGATCCCTGGACTCTAGGTTGTAGGAGTTGTCATTCATTTTTTGACATCTAACCCTGGAGTAATTGGGGGAGGTAGATAGAATCCTGAAGTAAAGGAAGCGGTTGGGACTGTGGACTGTGGTGGTTGGTTTGTATTTGAAAACTCAGGTTCATGGGTGTTTATTGCCCTTAGGAACTGGCTATCATGGGAAAGGAAGTTCCTCCAAGGTCAGCGAGGCCCCAGATAGCAAAGCAACAGGATACAGAACAGAAAGATGTGGCTGAAGAGCTTGCATTGCATGAAGATAGGTTGTGGTCAAGATTTGGCCCTTGTGCTTTACATTTGTCAATTTATGGGTTAAAAGAACAAAGATAATGTCATAGTCAGGGGTTGTGAGGAGAACTATTAAAATCAAGACATGGAATTTATAATATTGTTTATGATGGTCACCCAGAGTTAACATAAGAAAATGCAGGAAATGTATCCACAACACTAAGGACATAGAATATTTAGCCAAGGGCCTGAATCCCACAGCAATGCCCCACGTGAGTCCAGATGAAGTCCTTCAGCTCATGACAGTGCCTCCCACGAGTCCAACTGGAGATCTAGAGCCCACGAGAAGGACTCACACCAGTCTCTTTTACAGATCTGCGTTGTGAGGGCCCAAAAGTGAGCGATAAAAGCTAGAAAGTCCATGCCAGCAGGATGAAGGAACTGTGCTGGTAGGTTGAGGTTCTACACTGGAGCCGAGAAGTCATGCTCATAATAAAGACCAGGGCTGTCCTGAAAAGCACCATCCTCAGCAACACAGAGGCTCCGAGCTCCTCCAATAATAAACAAAACAGTTGAGTACATGCCAGGAAGCCTGTAACGAGTTCATCCTGGAGACCAATTGGCACAGGTCTTCCCCTCTGGAGCCAGGGAGCAATGCTCAATGTAAGGCCCAGAGCTTCTCCAGGAGAATCAACAGCTCAAACAGCAACTCATAGGAGAACCCACAGTGCCTCAACACCTCCATGCCTCAAAGCCGCCCTTCTCCATGTCTCTATTTATGCTGGCAACTTTCCTCAGGTAGAACCTCTATGCTCAGCACCATGCTGATTTAATTTCACTGGCATTAGGTTGATCACCAGTTGTTAATCCATAACAGATATTGACAAATATGAAAGCATTATTGTTGTGGAAAATAAGAGTATCTCATAAACCTTTTTATATTTTTTTCTTTTTTTGCAGTGTTGGGGATCAAACCCTGGGGCGCCTCATGATTGTATGAGCTGAGCAAACACCTCCGCCACCACTAAGCATCTTGATCCTTGTCAATAAAAACTGAGCAGAGGAGCTAATTTATAATAATAATAATAATAATAATAATAATAATAATAATAAAAGAATTGAATCCATTTAAACTTAAAGAAACTCTTCCCCCCACTTGGCATGTGCATTGAATTCCTTCTGCTCCAATAGTTCCTGGAACATAAATATCTCCTAACTTGCTCTTTCCATATCTTTACTGAGAAGGGTAATAGCCAGAACAGAACATGGAATTCTCAAAGTAGTTAGTGTCAACCTGATTATATCTCCCCAAGCCCTCTAGTAAAGCATTAGTGTGATTTCTGTGTTCTCATCATTTTACCAAAGCCTAATTAAAGTTTCTGGAGCCCGTAATCTAATTACACTGTGGTGAATTCCCAGAGGGCAAGGCTGGTGTTTTTCTTTCTCAAGTTACTTCTTTGGCTCAAATCCTTTCCCTGCTGATCATGGCAATTAGGAGGAGACCCCAAGCTCTGTTCAGGGCCCTCTTCCTTCCCCCTCCTGGTGCCTGGTGCCTGCTATTCCAGTTTTATCTTTGGTCTTTTTGTGGACAGATGTGTCAGGCTTTTTACTGGCGGTTCCTTTTGTGGTTAAGAAGATCCACTGCTCCCTAATTTACTCCTCAGCCCTGAGCTCTTACTTTTCCTTCTAAACTGGCTTCCTGCACGTTTCCTTTTTCATAGCTGCATGAGCTCTTCCTTCGTAGTACTTTGCACAGTTTGTATCTGTACAGAGTCTTCACCTTTTGTTTTTTCCTACAATACTGAGCATTGGACCTTGGGCTTTACAATGGGCTACATCACCAGCCCTTTAAAAGCTTGTTTTTACAATTTTGAGACAGGATTATTGCCCAGGCTGGGTGCAAACTCTCAGTCCCCCTGCCTCACACTTCCACAGTGTAAAGAGTACAGACGTGCACCACCACAGCCAGCTGTCACCACCTTTTTATGCTGCTTTCTTCCATTAGATGCTGAGCCCTTGAGAGCTGAGGCCCTGAACAAAGCAACCACTCGACAGATATTCATTGAATAGGCGAATGAATGGATGGGCACAATCAAATGAACCCTACCTCGAGGCACAAGGAAGAGCCTGGAGAGAAGGTGAGAGCTGATCATTGCACTGGGAGTACCGGCCCCCCAATATTTCCACGGATTTTAACTTCACAGTCATACGTGAGTGCGTTTTGAAGGACGATTCACCAGAGGAAAATGCTTCATATAGATTCTGTGAGAGAATTTTCACCATGTCCAGGACTAGAGGGAATCAGAGAGATTTAAAGTATTGTAAGGATGATTGATCATAGCTGTGCATGTAAGGGGGGGCAGGACCCCTTGGTGATGTGCCTCAGGGATGCTAGAAGGAAAGGTGAGGTGCACAGCCCTGGTTAGTGTAGTTGGGCTAAAATCTTGATGGACAATTCAGACGTTTTCTAGCTTCAGCCTTCTTGTCACTACCACTGGAACCTCCCTGGTGGCTTTATGGGCAGGCTTACCTGTCCATTCCTTTCACTGGATGTTATAAGTGAATGAGGAGCATTTACATTGGTTGGTGGGTCTGAGGTTTCCCTTTTTCTGTTTTAATTTTTACCCTTGCTCATCTCATGATGGAAACCTCACATGCAGGCCATGGACCCACGGTCAGTACCCTGTGCTCTCGGTCACACATTCTTCTGTACATAGATGCCATGTTGTGCAGGACATGTGGGCTTGCAAGCCATGGCACTGGGGCTTATATATTTTGCTTTGTGACCACAGGCCCCTCATTTAGCATCAGTTGGCCTCAGTTTATCCACTTGGAAAATATGGCAACAGTAGCATCTCCCCTAAATGTTATGAAACTTTAATGAGCACAAGTATACCAGATATTCAGAATGGTTATGTACATCATAGAGCTGTAAAAGTGAATGCCAGATATCATTACCACTTATATATGTAATTAATATCTAAAAAAGGCAAAACACAATGAGTTTACTGAGTGTGAAATGAGGAAAAACTTTACTTACACTGTTTTGTTTGTTTATAATAAAGTTTAGAAAGCTTTCCATTGAAACGAAAACAATTTTGTAACTTAAAACAGTTCTCTGCAGGAGGATGAAGACAGCCCAGTCCTCCAAATCATGCGTAGGATACTGGAGACAAGAGCTTTGCTGATTAGTCTGCCTACAATAGGGACCTCTGGGAAGGACTGGTGGCTCAAAAGCCATCATATTCTTTCTTGGTGTAAGAAAACAAAAACACATGCACACAAGTCCTCTCGACTGCTTGTGCAAAGTAACTCTTAAATGGATGTTCTTTCTCACTAGTGAATAGCCCGAAACGTGGACTGGAGGCAGAAAGTGTGGTTTGGACTCCTTATAGCTTTTCCAGGGATGAGCATATCCCTCATTTTAATACTGAGGACACTGAGGGACAATGATGTGTCCCAGATCATGCATCCACATGTTGGGTCATTAATTTATTCATTGTGTTAAATAAACCTGAGGACAAGGAGCTCAGGACCAGCTAGGCTGGGAGTGCCCAGCAATAGTAAAGTTATGTGCTGTCCGCCACAAGGCCCTAGAACCAGTCCAGCACCAAACCATTACAGTACTGCACAGTGATGGCTGACGGGCAGGGGTCACAGTGGGCTGGGACACTGGCATTGCTATTTTACAAACCCCAAAAGTGGAACAAATTGAACTAAGTCTCAAAACAGGAGTAGTATTTTTCCAGATGACAAAAAGTGGCGAGTCTAGTCTTCTTGATCAAAATTGTAATTAAGGAAGGGTGACCTATGATTAACTAAAAGATATACATATCTTAATCTCATGTAGTTTGAATAAGCTTGAATTTAAAAATTTACTCCTTTTTCATCTACAATTTAAGTTTATTATTTAAAAACTTGAAAATTTCAGGATGAAGAAAAATAACCAGCGCATTCACCTACACATTTCCCACCCCTTTTTCTCTGCATTAAAATAACAAGTACGTATGAACCTGAGGCCATAGACATTCTCTTGCACCACTGCGTACGCACCTTTGCCATCAGCTGCGAGGTTGGCCAAGTGTTAAATCACGCAGTTTCTCCCCACTTCATTTGGCTCAGGCTCCGTATATGGACATTTAAGCCATTGACTGAACAGCTCTGAAGCTACGCCAAGCTAAGCTGAAGAATGTGACTGAGGTAGAGGCGACTGGGGACAAATCAAGTAACAAATATTCAGTGATCCATCCCTTTCTTTCCTGTCAGATATTTGCCTTAGATTCAGCTGCAATTTTTGAAAGCTAATGAAGCTTGGGTATTTTGAAAAAAAAAAAAAAACAAATATGCAGAAGTATTCTTCCGGAGCTTTGCACAGTAGTAATGAGTTCTGTACAGTGGCTTCTAGGGGCAGGTGGAGATGGGGAACATTTACTTTATCCCCCTGAGCGTAAGCCCATGTGGGAGTAAACTCTGAAACGCAATACAACCTTGAAGAAATATTTTCTCAGAATTAAATTACAAAGGTCTAAACCTATGCCTGTATAGTGTACTTTACAAAGCCCTCTGAGTGCTAACAGACATGTAAGTACAGAAAAGTCCTGGCAGTGTGATCTTGAAATCAACATATCATGATTGCAATTTTTCTCTTGTCCTCTTTTCTCCATCCTTTCTTAGTTTTTGAGTGCCAGCTTTGTACTAGGTGCTTTTCAGGCACTCAGGGGGATGTAATAGATGTATGTCAACCTTACTTGTGAGGACCCTATTCACAGTCCTGTGGGATTGGAAGCTGTAGACACATTTTCACTCGTGCATGGGTGAATGCACTGCACATAGGCCTTAGAGAAGCTTACCTGTGTCTAGAGAGGGCAAAGAAACTCACAGAGCAGCTGAGGGTTGCAGTGGACTTCACTAGGAAAATGAGGGAGGAAGGCTTGGACAAATGCATGGAAGGGGCTTCATAAGTGCTTTATGTATAGGGAGACATACTGTGTTCCTGAAGACTCAGAGATACTGGAGATGGAGCTCAGGGAGGGGAGAACGGGGCCTCATACTGTCTGGTAGAGGACTTAGATTTTTCTCCCATACACAATGAGGAGCTGCCAAAAAATTCTTTATGGAGGAAACAATGATTGGTTGTAGTGTTTCCTGTTCCTTGCAATAAAGGTTACATTACCCTGGAACAGTCTTTCCAAACCCACTTTGCTTTCCATATAGTTAACTTTCATTCATCCTTCAAGTCTCAGCTGGAATATCACATCTTCCAAGGGTATTTACTTACCTTTGCTGGGTAGGCAAATTTGGATACACTTCCTACACTCTCCCAGACTGTACAGAACCCTTAATCCTTTACCATGTGGCACTGTGACAATTTGTATAACTCATGTGCTTTGTGGGATGTGACTGTCTGCTTTGATTTTTCCACCCCAGTTACTAGCACACAGCCTGTGCTGGGAAGATGCTTGTTTGCTTTCAAGTCCCTTCGGCTTCTCTGCTCTGCACCCCAAAGCCCCACCTTTGGATTGCTCTTCTTAGAATCCCTTGCCAACTGGCTTCCTGATAGTTTTGGCCAGTGGGAAACACCATGGGAAGAACTAGTGGGAAAAGACAAGGATATTTCTTTCTCTCTCTCTCCTTTGAGCAGCATCCCTGATGGCGACCATGTCCTCTCCAAGGTCTTATCTTCTGTGCATCCCTGTCTCCAAGGTTTTAGTTCCTGCCCAGTGGCCACTGCCTCTGGCTCTGACAACATCACATCCTTCTCGTGCCCCTTTAACTTTTGGGATAATAACCTCCTGCTCTTATTTCTTGGTTGCTTTCTTTTCCCTTGCTTGGCTTGTCAGCTTTTCCTACACCATTAGAACTAGCTCTCTGCATTCATTTCCCCAGCACAGGCCCCCTTTTGACTTCAACTTATGTACACAGTTCTCAGTAGAACAGGATGCTTGGTACATGTGTGTGGGTCAATGCACGAGGAAAAAGCTGAGCAAAATGCATAGCAATGCATACCTGTAATTCCAGCTACTCAGAAGGCCGAGACAGGAGAATCACAAGTTGGCAGGAGGATCTAGATAGACAGATAGAGAGAGAGATAGATAGATAGATAGATAGATAGATAGATAGATAGACAGACAGATAGATACATAGATACATAGATAGATAGAGAAAGTGAATGTGATGGATTGACAACTATCGATCAACTTGTAACACTCAGCTGAACTGAATCAGCATGCTACTGGGTGTGGAGAGCCCTCCTGAGGATTGTTGCCAACCACATATAAAGGAGAATTGGAGAAGAAGAAGTTGATGCTACTAGTTCTGGAAGAGCTTGTCATGCTGGCTTTCCAGATAGAACTTGAATGTTCTCATCTCATCATTTGTGGAGCTCAGCACCTCAATGTGGCTGAGGATGAGTGTAGTACTTTTTGGGGAGCACTGGTCCTTATTTGGAGCTTTGCTCTCAGGCTCCAGAAGGAAAGATGGTGTGCTGTGCAGGCTCTAGCAGAAGCTTGTCCTGCTGGCTTCCTGATATGCATTTGGTTGAGCTCATCTTCAGAGGAGCTTGAGACTTTGTTGTCACTGAGGATGGCTGTGGTACTTGTCTGGGGAGCTCTGGTCCTAACTTTGAGCATCACTTCCTGGCTCCAGTGCAGATCCTTTAGCCTACTGGCACAGACTTTCTAGCTTCTACTGCTGACTGTTGTGCCTTCCCAGCACAGATCTGCACACTTGAGGCATTATTGTGAGCTCTAGGCCTCCAGTTGGACTCTTGGGGGGCATTCTCATGGGCTCTAGGTCTTCAGCTGAACTCATGTAGGACATTGCCATAGGATCATACCCCCAGCTGAATTCTGTGGGTCTTTAGTGTGTGGACAGATTTCCTGAAATTGTACATTTTTGTATTTGACTCTTTGTGTAACTATTATAAAAATAATTCTGGATGGAAGCTAAGGCCATGCCTGTAAGCTGGCCAGAGCACAGGCTGGGGAGAGAACAGCCCCTTTCTCTACCCTGTAAGCAACCAACTGATTGGGAGGAACTGTATTGTTTGATAGATTTTGCAAGCGTAAAGTCAAGCAACTGTCTAGAAGACACCAATATGCAACGTCCCAAGTGTTATAGATTCCCTACTGTCCTAACACTGTTTTCATTTGTTTTATTGATGCTTTATTCCCTTTAACATAGAATTTTTTTAAAAACTCTATGAATTATGTGTCCTGCATGAAGTTGTTTTCCTTGCAGATCCTCACTGTAACAGTATAGATACACTTCAGTGGTGGAGCGCTCTTAAGTTCTATCTCCAATATTGGGGCAAATTTTTCAATCCTATCCTTTCCTCCTACCTGGAGCAGGTGGCCAAAAGAAGACTGCTTTCCAGGAGGGGCCACAGATCAGTTTCTCCTTTGCTCAGCTCATATTTCCCCAGCTTGTTCAGAAGGTTGACAAGATTATTAGGAGGAAAGGCAGCCCTTCCTTTTGTGGGCAGGTGACTGAAGTGGACTCTCACTGTGGCGCATCTGTGGGTTTTTCTGAGGCCCCTTCCCTGCCCCTCTGCCCACAGTTCGTGAGATGCGGGCAGGGCCTTCTGTCCCTTTGGATTTCTCCGCCTCAAGCCCTTGGTTTGATGATGGCCCAGGCTGCACCAATCTTCATCCTACACACACACACACACACACACACACACACACACACACACACCACTCTCAGGCAGGGCTGGCCACTGCTCCCACTTGGCTTTTCCACCTCTTTGTGGTCCTGGAAACATACATGCTTGCTCTGAGGAACAGTGGGAGTACTGCCCAATTCCAGGACAGCCTGTTCCCTGGCCTTTGTGTCTTTGCGTGAATCAGTATTGTTCCTTCACGCCCCGCCCCACAGAGCAAGGTGAGCACAGCAGGCAGCCCCTGGGAGTGTGGGGACCTCAGTAATGTCCTTCCTCAAGATATCACTGCAAATCTTTCCCCTTTCAGAGAGACCCTTCCATGGTCTCAGGAAGGGACAGTACTCAGGGTCACAGAACCCTTCCTCAGAGTTTCCTGTGACAGTTCTGCAGACTGTGGGCTCTCACGTTCTCCCATTCCTGTGCTTCAGTAGAGGTGGAGACCGGGAAAGTGGCCAACAAGTCTGTCATAGGGCTGGAGTGAAAACTGACCGAGGGATCAGGTTAGAGATTTTAACCCCCTCCCTGGCTCACTGGTGCACTCCCACCGCACCTGTTATTTGGGTCGGAACCTGAAAACCTACCGGGGCCTGAAGACCCCAAGTGCTCAAGCAGTCTTTCCTCCATCCGATTTTCAGTCATCAATCAGCCTGCCAGTGAAGATACTGACCAGGACTCAATTCAGCAGAGTAAGAAAGTGCTAAGTGAATACGTGGGGTGCAAACGTGGGCGTGTGTGTCTCGTTTTTCCAACTGCATGGCAAGCAACCTCCGTCTACCCTGTTCTAGCCCAAACTGCTTCTCTTTCTGTCCTCACCTGCCCAGAAGGGTCAGGGTTTCAGCCAGGTGCGCCCACGAAGCGCGAGGCGAGCTGCCCAGAACTGCCGCACGGTGGCGCCGTTGGACGCCCCTCGGCCCCCACAAAGCAGCTTTTGTCCGCCTTGGGCACAGTCGCTGAAGCTTTGGGAGGGAAGATGACCCCATTCCCTCAGTGGTAACCTCAGCCAGGAGTGACTCCCACTGGAGCTCACGAGGCTGCACTCAGCTGATTCTGCACCCGGTTTCCTTTCACAGCTGCTGTCCAGGTGCCAGCTGGTCCCTGGAGCCTCAGGGCAGCGCGGGCTGCTGGGATTCTTTGTTTCAACTTCAGGCACAATAGAGTCCTGTTATCACCTCCCCTTCCTGGACCACGGGGCTAGCTGCTTGCCTTCCATCTAGGCTTCTGAGAACGAGGGTCTGGGGACTCTCTGGGAGACTCGAGGACCATCCCGTCCCTCCATCCTTGCTAATGACAAGTTAGTTTTCTGTCCTGCTCTTCAGATCTTTCGCATGTTTCTCACCAGAGAACAGGATTGCAAATTTAAGTTTCAGTCTTCCGTGTCATCTTACCTCATAGAGAGTAAGGAATGTGTCTAACGTGCTTTTAGATTCGGTAGCGTTGACCTTGGGAGCAGACCTGTGGGAGCACATTTGAGGTGCAGTAGCTACTTGACCTTGCTGGCTGTTTAAGGAAGTGACTTTGGATTCCAAGGGCCTGTTCATGCATGACAATTAGTTGGCAAAGCACAAGGGGTAGACTTAGCCAGGGTGCCCTAGTGGGGAACCCAGTGGTTTTTTTTGTTTGTTTGTTTTTGTTTTTTTTTTTTTTTTTTGCAGGATGGCAGTCACAGAGAGTCCTGGGGATGAAGCCACAACCCGCCCACGTTGAGGAGAAGCCAGGCAGTGAAGGGAGTCTGAGGCTTCCAGGATGAGATAATAAAATGGCAATCTGGGTAAGATTAGCTTCCATCTGAACATGGGCTCGATGCAGCACATTTGTGTGTTATTGCTAATCGTCATGACCATATTATTTAGTAAACAGTATCACACCCATTTAACAGGTGAGACAAATGTGGCTCAGAGAGGTTAAGTAACCAGTCCAGTAGCACACAGAGAGTTGTTAGTGGAATTAGAAATTTAAGATCTTTAGATTCTAAAACTCACCGTCTTCCCATGATTATATGTTGCCTTTTGAAAATGATGCTGGCATTAGAAGATGATGAAATGAAGGGAACTGAGAGTAAATCTTGCCGTAGTGCATGGTTCTTTGGGAATCAAGTTTAGGCAAATGATAACTTTTTCTGTGTTTGTCATGAAAACCATTCTGAAATAAAGCCCCTAGGGAAGAGAGAATCAGTGGGTAGGAGCAAGAAACACAGAGTGAACTCGAGCATTTCCACTTGGCAGGGGTGAAGCTTTTGTTACTTTGGGGTGCTCTCCCCCACCTCTAGGCCTCCTCCACAGCACCATGCCTGGAGTTGCCTGCCCCTGCAGCCTCACTCTATCTGGGGAAAGTCCGCAGAGCGGAGCTGCCTCCTCTGAAAAAAGGTTTCCTTCCTGGTATGCGGGCCTCAGGAGGGTTGGCACCCTCTTCTGTGTCCTTTGTTCTTACCCAGGCATCAGTGCAGCAGGAATTGTCTGTAGAGGGCTGTTCTGCCACAGTGCTGGGAGGGGAATTCTTCATTCAGGTCGAAGTCTGATACCAGGGATGATTAGAAACCCAGTTGTTCAACAACAAGGAGAAAAGAGGGGGTCTGCAGAACCTCCCCACCAAAGGGAGCACGGTCAGGGGGTGAAGTTGGATGGTGCTCGTGGGGCAGGAACCTGGACAAGGTCGTGGGGCAACACTGCTGAGTCCAGCCCGAAGAGGTGGCATCCAGCACAGGCAGCTCCTGGGTGATGCCGGTAAGCAGGGATGCTCGGTGAAGGAATGGATGGATGATGGTAAACAGCCTTTGTTAAAACAAACCAGAGGCTATGTTGGTGACTCAAAGTTAGTTACCACTGTCTGGTTGAAGTTATGATCCTCTTAAGAATTCATCATGCCCCTGGAACTTTCAACGCTGTTTCCCAAATGATTTGCCCATCGGTTGACCAGAGATGACCAGTTGGGTTGGGAAACCACACGACTAGCCTGTGTTAGTAGGCGCAGTGGTGGTTCTCTGCAGAACTGGAAACAACTGAGCCCTACCTAGGGCTACAGCATGGCTCAGTTCCTTATTGGAGGGACCAGCCCCTACCCTTGGCAATGAGCCTAATTGTGCCCAGTACCCCCTTGTTTATCTAAGTGGGTGTTGGGAGTTCCCTTGGTTAAGCCTCCAGGTCTTCCCTTCTTCCAGATTTAATGAGCTCATTTATTTTATTTTTCTTTTTCACTTAGCAAGTTTTAGGGCCAGTTAATGAGTAGTGGGGTTCTTTACAAGAGCCAAGTTGGGCCGCAGTGCAGAAAATTCTCTTGCCATTTCCTGCTCTGAAGTCCCCAGTGTCTCTCCAAGTTCCTCCCCGACTCTGGCAACTCCCCTCCTTAGCGCTGTTTCCCGTATGTGGGTTCCCAGTTTCTGGACTGGAGCTTTAAGTTTTCATTTTTCCCTCCCTTCACAAGTCACAGAAGGAGCTGCGGCAGGATCGGAGAAAGAGATCCATTTTAAATGCAGGGTTTCCCGAGTTTAGTCTGAGGCTCTCGTGGGATTTGAGGTGGGGGAGGCTGGTTGGGAATTCCAGGGAGACTTGCCAGGGGCGGTTTAAACCTCCTTTGTGTCTGTGGCTGTAAGGAGCTGCCAGGACTGAGCAGCAGTGCAAGGAGACTTGGAAGCCTTGCTCTGGTGGTTGATGCTTGGTAACCTTGAGCTTAAAGACAATGAGAAAGAATGCAGCGTCCACATGACAAAGACAGGAATGTACAGCAACTCAGGGCTGGCTTGGTTCCTAGAAGGTCCTCTGGGTCCTGATTCAGTGGCTGCTTGCTGAATCCCACACAGGGGGCAGCTCAGCACCAGGAGTCTCCTGTGTACCTGGCTGTCATGCATCCTGTTTTGCTTTGAGGCAGGCAGACACTGAGCCACGTGGGCACTGGGGCATCAGGAGGAAAGATCTGACATAGTCCTAATGAATGTCCACAGCTCATCTCCACACACTTCAAGGATTCCTGTGCAGTGGAGGAAGACGGACAACAAGGGAGGAACAGGAGGCCAAGTCACGGAAACCTCTGTGTGTCACGCTTCTTTTGCAAACCACTTGTTTCCTGCCTAACCGCTGAAGCTTGAGCGCAGAGCTGTCTATCAGGAAGGCAAAGCTCTCGGGCCTGCTTCTGCGTTGGGGCCAGGCCGGGAGGGGTAATGGGGAGCCTGAGTTGCTTGTTAGATCTAAGCCAAAGCTCTTCTGAGGGCAAGGTCCTTGTAGCTGCAAACCCATTTCAGAGCATAGTGAATCTCAGCAAAGACTAGACAGGGGGCTCAGGTCAGGGAGGCAGCCCACCTTCATCTGTGTTGGGATTCTGTATTTATTATTATTATTATTGTTGTTGTTGTTGTTGTTGTTGTTTATTTCCCAGGGCTGCTGTACAAAGTACCACTGAGTACCACTAAGACAGGAAGTTCAAGATATCTGTATGTTGGTTCTTTCTGAGGCCTATGAGAGAGATTTCTCCATGCTCTAGCTCCACAAGATACCTGTGGTATCCTCTGGCTTTTAGAAACCCCACCTCCACGTCTGCCTTCATTCTCATTTGGTGTCTTCCTTATGTGTCTGTCTCTGTGTCCAAATCTACCCTGTTTATAATAACGCTTTTCACATCGGATGAGGGCCCACTGGAACTGATTTCATCTCAAATGACCCTATTTCCAAATAAGGTCACATTCTAAGGTACTAGCAGTTAGATTTCATTATATGTTTTTTAAGGGGTCACAGTGCAGCCCATAGCACCATAATTCTGATTTTATTTTCCTCTGGTGACCATCGACAGTACCTATGGGGAAGAAGTCAGAGCAACTCAAGGAGGGCCAGGCATACTCTTGGGGAGAACTAAGGGGTGGTCAGGAAGCGGGGAGACTGTGGGAGGGTTTGTGCTAGACAGCAGCCCAGCATGTGGATGTCTCATAGAGCACCTGCAGACATGCAGAGGGGACAGTGAGCAGTGCAGTGCTGGTTGTCCCCCACATCTGTGCTCAGGACTGGCAGGGACACGAAGAGAAAGAAAGCTCCGGGCGGGCAGCTATACCTCACAGCTGTACCACTGAGGATCTGTGGAGAAGCAATCCTTGGACTTCAGACAGAAACGGGGAGAGAACCGTAATCAGGAGCCCAAGTTCTGGGGGACTTTGGGATAGGAGATAGGAAGAGAAGTGGGATCCTGTGCAAATGGGGTTCCTGAGATGACTGGGCAATCATTCAGGCAGACATCCAGGATTAGCTAAGATAGTTCATCACTTCCTCTCTGAAACGCAAGATTAATTTAATTAAAAAGCATCATTACAGTTGGTTTGTACAAAAAGTAAGTAGGGGACATTTGCCTTACTAAATATTAAATTTCAGACGAAACAATTGTCATAAAAAGGATGTGTTCTAGGCCAGTGATGAATGGTCCACTGAAGCACGGTATAATTCAGGAATAGACACGGTTTGTTTACATACATAAAATCTGAAAAAAATGACACTGCAACTCAGTGGGAAAGTTATGCTTGATTTAAAAAAAGAGATATTGACATAATTTGCTCTCCATTTGGGAAAAACAAGGAGGTAAATCACCTCTTACCATAAACAAAAATAAATCCCAAATGGGTTTGGGTTAAAGGTCTAACTAAAACTACATAATACATATATAAAATGTCTGAGGGGAGTCTAGTGGAAAGTTTGTATAATTTTGTTATGGAGGGGATATTTTTAATAGTGGAGGAATTCTCAAAAAGCATAAAGGAGGAAAAAACAGGAGACATGTTTCCACATATTTCTTAAAATTATAAGGAAAATACCATGAACAAAAGACAAAGTATAGGCTAAAATAAATATTTGCAAATAATGATAATTTGAATTTGACCTTTCCTATGTGTATTACTTGTATTTCTTTCCTGATTATTTTGGCTAATATTTCGAGCACAATGTTGGGCAGACACCGTGATATCAGACATCTTTATCTTATTTCTGATTTTAGAGAGAAAGTTTTCAGCCTTTTCTCATTTAATAAAATATTAGCAGAAGGTTGTCATAAATGGATTTTATCAGGTTGAGTTAAAGTGCATCTATAATTATTTTTAGTTTTTTTAAAACTAATGAATAGATGTTGGATTTGCAGAAACACAGTCCTCTACTTAGAAAACACAAAAATTCTATCAAAATATTCCTGAAATTAATAACCCAATTCAGTAGTATAGCAGAATACATAATCAGCATACCCAAAATCAATAGCTTTCTGTACACCAATAATGAACTCACTGAGAAAAGAAATGAGACAATACTATTCCCGATAGTATTGAGTAAATTAAAGGCTTATGAACTAATCTAATTAATGAATTGAAAGACCTTTACAATGAAAATTACAGTTCTCTGAAAAAGATTAAAGAAAATTTTGGAAAACAGAAAGTTATCCCATCCCTAGGTAAGCAAAATGACTATAGTCAAAATGGCCATATTTCCAAAACCAACACACATGTTCAATGGAATCCCAATCAAAATCCCAGCGGCATTTCTCACAGAACTGGAGGAAACAATCCTAAAATTCATGTGGAACAAGGAGAACCCCACTGCAGCAAAAGCAATCCTGATCAACAAGAATGAAGCAGAAGTCTTCATAATCTCAGACTTCAAGTAATATTACAGAGCCATAGTGATACAAACAGCATGGTACTAGCACAAAAATAAGCATATGGATCAGTGGAACAAAATAGAGAATGCAGAAATGATCACAGACGTAATAAGCTGTCTGATCTTTGACAAAGGGGTCAGAAATATACACTAGAGAAAGCATAGCCTATTTAATAAATGGTGCTGGGAAAACAGGCTATCCACACACAGAAGATTGAATCCAGATCCATATATCTCACTATATATTAAGCTAAAATAAAAATGGATCAAAGACCTTAATGTTGAAACAGAAACAATCTACTGGCAGATAAAGTGGGTAACATTCTTGAAGGTGTAAAGTTATGTCTTCAGAACCCCAGTGATAAGAAATAGCTCATAGAACCAATCAGTGGAGTCATATCAAATACAAAATCTTCTACACAGCAAAGAAAACTAACACAGTGAAGAGACAACCTACAGAATGGGGAAAAATTGCCAGCTCATCGTTGGACAGAGGACTGATATCTAAAATACAGGAAGAGTTAAAAAGATTACCCCTCAATAAAAGACCTCCATCAAAAAATAGGCAACTGGAAAGAATAGACACCTTTGTATTCTTCTCAGAAGGATACAAATCATCAGAAAATACACAGAAAAATGTCAGACATCTCTGGCTATTAGAGAAAGGCAAGTCAGGAAAACATTCAGATTTCATCCTACTTCAGAAAGACTCTCTATCATCAAGAAATCAAATAATGCAAAATGCTGGTGAGAATGCAGGGCAAGGGAATACTTTTATATTGTTGGTGGAAATGTGAACTAGTGCGACCATTATGGAATTCAGCATAGAGATTCTCAAAACGACTACTAAAAGTAGAAATTTCCTTTGGCCCAGATATTTTTGTACCTTTCCCAAAGAGTTAAAGACTTCTTACTATAGTGGTATATGCATTACCATGTTTATAGCAGCACAATTCATAACATAAATCTTGTAAGTGGCCTATATTTCCATCAACAGTTGAATAGATAGTGAAAATGTGGTATTAATACACAGTGGAATACTACTAGACCATAAACATGATTAAACTTGAGTCGTCTGTAAGAAAATGGATATCCCTTGAGATCAAAATGTTAAGTGAAATAAATCAGACACAAAAACTTAAAATGTCAAATTTCACGAGAAACCAAAACTATAAATAAAAAGCATAATAAAAGAAAGATAATAGGAAATAGGGTGATAGATCTTTTGCAAATGGGAAAGGAACCAAGAGATATAACAAGGGGGAAAATTAAGATGTGTTATGTACATGTACCAATTCTCCACAAAGAATGCATTCATTGTATACTGCATCATGTACTAATAGAAAAATGGGGAAAAGCAAATAATTCTTGCAAAAATTAAATACAAATATTTGCAGCACCTACAAGGGATGTTATCCTTAATACAGAAAATGCTCATATAAATTGGTAGCAATGGCAAAGAATAGAGACATAAGAAAATATACAGTCAATTCACAGAGGAGGAAAGGAAGATTTAAGTAGAAAGCAGATTTGCCAGAGACAGTAAGATTTAATTCTTTATTCACCAAATTTGCAAAAACTAAAAAGATCCATTCACAAAGATCATGGATCAGACTGAGCGCAGAAGAATGAATGAATACTAAACCTTGCTGGTGGACGTGAGAACTGTATATCCTCCTGGGAGGAATAATCTATCAATGTCTCTTACAATTCAAAATCCATGCTCATTAGCTCAGCAACTGCATTTTGGGCAGTCATTTCAGTGAGTACAAAAGCCTCACGCTTGGCAGTATATTCATGAGAGTGTTTGGAGAAGCGTTGTTTGTTGTGACAAAACCTTAGGCAACACAGGCTTATCTATTAACAATCAAAAGGTTCAAGAAACACAGCCTCCACACTGTGGGATGTGACAGCACCAGCCCTAGCAAAAACAAACAAGTTAGCTATCAAGACGTTCACATGGAGATGCTAATATATTAAGTAAAAAAAATTTTTTTTTTTGTCTTTTTGAGACAGAGTCTCATTAATACAGGTCAGGCTGGATTTGAGTTCACTTTGTAGCTCAGGCTGGTCTCGAACTTGCAGTGATCCTCCTGCCTCAGTCTCCCAACTGTTGGGATTACAGGCATGCACCACCATGCCTGGCATTAAGTATAAATATTAAGTACAAAAACCAAGTTATGGAAAAATATGTATGCTGTTGATTTTTGTAAATAAGTAGAACAACCAAAAAAGTTTAGTTCAACAGTATGAATTGCTTCAAGATGCAGAAGTGAGAGGCAGTGATTTCTAGCTTCTTCCATGTATATTTGTTGTTTTGCTTATCATAACAATTTTTAAAACAGAAGGCAATTGGATAAAGGCAACATTAATAGGGGAAAAAATGACAAAGTAACTACACCATGCCTGGGGACTCACTAAGCCCTCCAAATAAACTCCACTCACTGGGTGACTTTCCATGTGGTGTATGTGAGGATCGATAGCTGCTTTGTTCTCCAGCTCGCAGGACCAGGAGGTTCTTGACACCAGGCTGCCCTGCCCAGTCACCTTGACCTCAGTTCCCATGGGCATCTCCAGGGCTGAGCAAACCAGCCTGGCCCCCCAGCTCTTCCCACAGCATCCTGTCCCTGTCTCCCTGAGAGGCACCAGTAGCCTCCTCTATAACCAGAGTTTTCTCTAGTTATAGCCTCCAAGGAACCCTAAATTCCAAGAGGCAGGCATAGTGGTTCTTATTATGTCCCCAGCGCCTTGTCTGGCTCATTGTAGGTGCTAAATACAATAAACATTTGTTACATGAATAAACAAGAAGTAAAGGACTGAATGCCAAACATTAGTGATACAAAGAAAACATCATCTGTGCCCTCGAAATGGGGCGGTGGAGAGGCAGGCATGTCAACAGCCCAGTTATAACACAAACACATAATTAATGTTGCGAGACAGTAGGAACTTAAGCTGCTCAAAACTGCCTGGGGAAAGTCTGGAAGGGTTCACAAGAGAGGAAGCTTTTAATCAAAGTCATGAAGAATGAATAGACATTCACCAGCAAAAGAAAGGCACGGAGTGATGTTTCCAAAACACAGGCTGCCTCTGCAAGGGCACAGTAGCATGAAAGAGTGTGACACACTCTGCAAACCTCAAGAGAGTTAGCACTTCTGGAGCATGAAGTTCAAGGTTAGGGAAAGGAGTATACAAAAGATAGTCAGGGGAGGTAACCAGGGGTGGTTACTCTGAAACCAAATCATTTGCAAAAGTCCTGCAGGGAGTTGCCTGGGGGTGCGGTGGGGGCTTGTATGGAAGAGGGACGCTGAGGTAACTTTTGAGCAGCCTTGTGCCATGAGGGATTTGCATGGGAACAGGAGATGACATCAGATAGAAGAGAGTGGGCAGGAGCGTTAAAGAAAGAGGGTTACTAGCATCTGCTGTTGAAGAACCAGGGCAGAGACGGTGTGGCCAGTGGAGAAGAGATGGGTGACGCACAAGGAGGTCAGGTTGCTGTGGGGGTGCTGTATGTCCTGGGGGAGGAGGAGAGGGGTGGTCAGAATGGCCCTACAATTTCCAGTTGGCTGACTTGTTTCATTACAGTAACAACAACAAAAAAAATACTGAAAGGGAAGTTAGTATGAGAAAAATGAAAACAGTGAACTTGGTTTGGACTCTGCTGAATATAATCACTTTCTACAGCTACCAGAACAAAATTCACAAACTGAATGCTTTAAAACAAGAAAAAATTTATTTTCCCATGGTTTTGGTGGCCAGGAATCAAGATGCTACCAGAGCCATACTTGGTGTGTACCCTAGAGGGGAGAGTCCACCCCTTTCTGTTTGCCTCTTCCTAGTTGTTGTTGGTGGGTAAAATATTTGGGGGATTCCTTGACTTGCAGCTGTGTCTTGCCAGCCTCTCTCCACTGTCACATGTGCTCCCCTCGATGTCTATCTTTATGTGGCACTGGTTTTCCTCTTCTTATAGGACAGTCATAGTAGATCACAGCTCACCCTAAGGGTTCTTAACTACCTCTGCAAAAATCTGATTTTCAAAGAAGATTAGCTTCACAGGTATTAGAGGTTAAACTTCAACAACTTTTTAAAAGGCAGACATAACTCTTAACTGAAGTTTTCATCTGAAAGGCCCTGGGCCCTTGGGTAGAGATGAGCAGAAGGCTCTGGAACAGGTAGGCTAAGCCTCAGGGCAGAGATCTTGGCTGCTTCCCCTTATTAGGACCTGCAGACAGAGACACAGCAAGAAGGTGAGTAGTCCAAGAGGAGAAGCCTTGCGGAAGAGGCAGAGCGTGTGTGTCCACGAGGGACCTGCACACACAGCCACAGCCAAGCTGCCTGCATCCTTCCTTTCCTGAGAGCTCACCTCCACCAAAGTGCCCAGGCTTTGGTAGTTTGCTACCTGATTCTTTCACGTCTGAATTCCTCCCCTTCTATTCCACACTGCTTTTCTTTCTTATGCAGGAAGCAGTGGAGCCCTATGGGCATCTCCTGAAGGAGTCAGCAGGGTTATTATTACAAGACGTCATCACTGGGGCAGCCGCCTGCCTGAACTCAGCGCTACAGTACTGCATTGAAAAGCAAACAAGGCCCGCTTGTTTGTGTTTTGAGTTTCTCCAGACGCAAGCTGGCAGTTTTGTAATAACACTGAGAAACAGCACTTCAGTGCATCAGCAAAATACCCCGTATGGCCACTCCAGTGTTATCCACAGTGGACACAGTTTCTCCTAAATTGCACCCCGAAAGATGCTACCCGGCTTGCTTTCAGGTGTCAGAGAAAGGTGCTGATGCTAAAAAGTGGGGCTAAAGGTACAGGCAGCTGGGTGTAGGTCAGCCAAAGGCCCCTGTGTCCTTGAAAGGTGTGCCTTTTAAAGTAGGATAGAATGGTGGAATAGACTGTCCGTGAGAGCGAATGCTTAGCTGCCTTGTTCACACATGTAGCTCCCACATCCAGTAGAATCATAGTAGACACAAGACAAATCTCCCCAAGGTATACATCGCCTAGGATATGAGACATTCATCGATAGTGGAGCCATCAAAAATGGAAAGGCATCATGATGCGCTGCTTACAGTAATGCAGCCTCCTTTCCCTGTGAGCTTGTGGTCTGTGGCCAGACTTACTGTGAACGGCAGTCCTGAGCCTTTTCTTGCTGTAGCAAGATCCATCCTCTGAACCTCTGGAAAACCCTGGAAAAACAATGGCCAGATTGACCATTGCATTATGACTTAATAAACATTGTGGCTAATGTTTATCAAGTGCCTGTTATGGAGTGGACTCTGTGCTCACTACTTTATGTGCCTTATCTCATGTAATGCTTGCAACAATTCTATGAAGGAGGTACTGTTTATTTTACCATTTTGAAAGCAGAAAAATAAAATTTAAAAAGGTGAAATCACTCTGCCCAAGCCCTCATAGTTAGAATGCAGTGCCAGGAGACTTTGGAATCAGACTGGCTGCATCTAGAGCCCACTCTTGAACCCTTCATTGTACTTGTGAGGTTTGCTCATCTCTCTTTGACGTTTCTTGTTGTGTGCTTAGTATAGGAGTTATTGCCCCAGAGAGACAGGGCAAGAATGATGCAGATGGTTAAGAAACCCTCAGGGCAGCTGCTGTCAGATTCTAGGAATGCTTTGGCTTTACAGAGAAAACCAGCAGTGAGTTTAGAGAAACCTGAGTTCTCAGAGCCCGTGCTGCCCCATGAGCTCTGTCTGTCTGGTTTGCTGAGTTCAGCTGTCACCACAAGCAGCCTGCAAAGGACTGAAGTCCTTGAGCAAATTATTCATCAGAACCAGTGGTTGTTAGCCTTTCAGGATTAGCAGCAACCTCAGAGATAATCCAATTTCACTCTTTGATTTCACAGAGGCCTAATGGGCAGAGGAGGGATATGGCGGATTAAGTTTGGCTACAGTTCTTTAATTCATCTGCTACGGAGAGGTGGGAGCTCTGTCCCCCTGCTCTGAATGAGGACAGGTTCTGTAAGTGCGTGCCTAGACTTAGTGACACTGTGCGGGCTTCTGGCCTCAGTCTTGTTTTTATTTCCCATCCTTGTAAATGTCTTCACCATTAAACAAAAAGCCTCAGAGCCACTCTTGATTTCTCCCATTTTTATTTATGTGCGCCAATATTAAAGCATCAAGACCTGTTTACCTGGCCTTCTATAAAAATCTCTGTATTGCTAGTTCAGGCCAAGCTGTATGTTTCTCTCTCTCTCTCTCTCTCTCTCTCTCTCTCTGTTTATCTCAGACTCTGTCTGTCTGCCTTCTTCCTTCTATGGAAAAACAACACTGATCTTTCTCAAATGTATATAGTAATATGTATTTACTTATGAACGGCCACCTATTACACTTGATTTTCAAAATGATTTGCGTACCGGCCCAGATCCATCCCTGCCTCTATGCTCTAATCATTCTCAAATTTCTTTGGCTCTGAGAAATTCCTAACTGTACTCTTGCTTCCTAGTTTTCTGGTCTCAGTCTCTAAGGGACTAGCTGCTTCTCCTTTCTGCTCCAGGAGCATAGATTCTTGGCACCCGACTTCCCTACTGTGAGGGAGCCTAAGTAGCTACAAAGAGACAGGAGTGAGGTGGAGCTGAGGCCCTCATTTCAAGGCGTTTGCTGACACCATTTTGGAGCTAACTGGATCCTTCATTTCCATTCAAAACCCGCTGTTGGAACAAGAACATGTGGAACAAGAACAGCTCCTACTACAAATGCTGGTTTACAAGCAAATAAAACACTTGTTGCTATGTTGAGCCACTAAGTTTTGGGACGGTTTACTATACCGTAGTAATCAGAACTAGAAGCAAACAGGCAGTGCTATGGGCCACCAGTCATTCAACAGTCTCAGTGGTCTGTGAATTTGGGGAGGCTGATGGATGGGGACTGTTAGTGACTGAATGTCTTCAGCACCCCGCCAAATCTGATGATCGTGTGAATCCTTAGGCTGTGAGAAGCCCAGCTTTCCTTTCTCTTTCCTTTCTTTCTTCTCTCGAAGATGGGGCTATTCTACACAAGTGTCAATAATTTGCTCTAATGACTCATAGAACACAGGTCAGTGATATACTGGCATTATATTTATTACAAAGGATACAGTGAATGGATAAATGAGATGCTTACATTGCAAGGAAAGTATTCTGAATGCAGGAGCCTCTGTCCTTATGGAATCAGGGTGCACCAATGTCTCAACACAAAATATTTGCCAATTTAGAAGATCTGTGAATTCCACAATTTAGGTGGTTTTCTTTAGCTTTTTTTTTTTTTTTTTCTTATAGTGCTGAGATACAACCCAGGACCCCACTCCTGGTAGAAAAACGAGCACTGCACACTGAGCTATGTTCCCGGCCCTTAACATGTAGTGTTTTATGAATGGAGGTTTCATTACATATGAATAATTGACTAAAATTGCTGACCATTAGTGGCCAAACTCAATCTTCAATCCTTCTTTCCTGTATCAAGTCCAAAGGTAGGACTGGAAATTCTGACTCCCTATTCACATGGTCGGTTCCTCCAGCTCCCATCTGACGTTCCTGAGAGGCCTAATAAAAACCACTCCTTTAACACACACTCATCGGGGGCTTGTTATGAGAAGCAAAAGACACTCATTCCTGAGATTTAGGAGATATTAGGACACGGAATGTATTCTAGTGTAGTATGGCTGATCTGGTCAGAGATGGTAGGCTTTTCATTCTCCAGCCTCCTAGCTCTTCTGTGTCCTCTGGTTTAAAAGCATGCTCCTTTGCCAATGTGCATTTTTCTACTTTAGGTACTTAACTAACCACAAACTTGTACCCCCTTTCTTGCATGAATGAACATATTTCCCTTCAGTAACTTTGTTAGAGACCTATCGGTATTTTCAGAGCAATCAGTAAATATTGAGAACATGATATTATTAGTAATGTGATAGTAAGTTTTATATGTCTATGACATGGAACTTTGATAATCATGAATGTTAAGGCATCAACTAAAAAGAAATTTGAAACACTTTGTGGAATACTGCCTTTTAAACATATTGTCATTAACACATTTCACAATTTTTATGAAAAGTCAGTGGTATTAATAATCTGCTGTGAAGTAAGCATGGTTATCCTACACTCAGCAAAGGAGTGATATATATTCATGCCTCACATAATAACATTTCTCTCAAAAAATAGACTGCTTATACAATGGTCATCCTCTAAGATTATAACAGAACTGAAAATTACTCCCATAAATTGATAATCATAGCTCAATGAGTTACTCATATGTTTGTGGCAATGTAAACAAACCTACAATGCTGTGGGCAATATACAGGTATAACACATACAACTATGCATAATACATAATACTTGGTAATAATAGATGGACCAAGCTACTGGTCCATCTATTTTCTATACTATAATTTTACATCATTATTTTAGATGGTGAACCTTCTACTTATTACAAAAAGTAGGATATAAATAAATAGGCCAAAATAAATAATGCTCCTATATATCAACAATGAACTTACCAATAAAGAAATTAGGAAAAGAATGACATTCAAATAGTTTCAAAAATTTAAATTTTTAGGAATTAATCTAGCAAAGGAAGTAAAAAACCTTTTGAAAAAAATTATGATATTCTGAAAAAAGAGATTGAAGAGGACACTAGAAAATGGAAAGATACCTCCTGTGGGTGGATGGGTAGAAACAATACTGTCAACTAATCAAAACACCAGAAGCATTCTTCAATGAATGAGAAAAAATAATCCTAAAATTTTTATGGAACCAGAAGACTCTGAATAGCTAATGCAATCCCAGGCAACAAGAGCAAAACAGGAGACATGATAATTCTGAATTTCAAATTACATTGCAAAGATGCACTGATAGAAACAGCATGTAAGTGGCCCAGACACACAGATTAGTGCAACAGAATAGAGGCTGCATGGCCAACCCCAGGCATGTTCGTTCATCTAATCATTGATAAAATGGGCAAAAACATATTCTGGAGAAAACACTGTCTCTTTAACAAGTAGTGCTGGGATAACTGGTTGTCCATATGCAGGAAAGTGAATCTGGATCTGTATTTCACACCCTCTGTTAAAATAAATTAAAAATGAATCAATGATCTAAATGTTAAAGTAGAAGCAATCTTTTTTTATTTTTTTATTTAAAGAGAACAAAACAGTAAAAGGGTACAAGTAATACAGAATTTCAAAAAAAATAAACAGTAAGAAATCACTAGTTAATAGATTACATATTGTCATCTTAGAAATAGTTGTTCAAATTATAAAATTAAAGCATACAAAGTGGACATTCAAACAGTGAGATTGCAAATAGTTTTGTTCAATGATCCAACAAAAACTTTGTAATATGATTTTCTATCTTACAGACTTAAATATACATGCAGTTATATCCTTTAGAGCACTTTCTTTTCCTCTCTTTTTTACAATAACAATTTCACATTTTGGGTTTTATTATTTCCACAGTTCTTATTACTTTTTTTGAAGAGAATAAAACCAAATGTGAAAAAACAAAACAGAGTCAGTTAGAACAGAAGGATGGACATAGTACATGTTGTGAAAACAGAATACAAGGTGATCAACAATGGTTATCATAATACCTCTTGCTATCTTAAAAAGAGTTGCCTATATCATCAAGTATAATAGAATTGAACAAAACATACAGAACAAAACCAATAAAACCTAAACATTGGAGACCTTACAGGACTTCAAAAGAAGATAATAGTCAAACCAGAATGAGCATCATAGTGAATCTTATTGCCTTCAAAGTAGTTGCCTATACCCTCAAATTTGATACTATCAAACAAAACAGAATAGAATAAAATCAGTTAAAACAAGATGGTGAGCGCAATACAGGGCTTCAAATCAAGTTAATAGGGAATCAAAAAAGTTACTATAGTATATCCTGCTAATTTTTTTTATTTTTTCCTTAATTAAAAAAATAATTTTTTTAAAAAAAGGGGGAGATTAAGATAAAAGAGTACATAACAACAAAACAACACAGATCAGAACAGAACAATTTAAGCAACATAGTGTTTCACTACCAGATAACCTGACATAATAGTAGTTACCATAGTGTCTCTTTCCTTAAAATATTTGAGTATAACTTCGTATACTACAGCATCAAACATATCAAGACCGTGTGAAACCATTCAAGAGAATGAAAGTATTACAGGATATTTAGAACTAGCTAACAGAAATTGAACAGTGGTTTCTATATTATCTCTTTGCCTATAAAATTTTTGTTTATACTATCACATATAATAAAATCCAATAAGAC